CTTGTCCTATCACTACAGTCCCTAATGAAGAGTCCCTCCCCAGCACCCCTATAGGCCCCCTTCAGATACTGTTCAGATGTCCTGTTAAAAGCAGCCACTTTTAGGACACTATTTTGAACCCTGGAATGTGTGATTCATTTTTTAACCCTTTTTTTTTTTTTTTTTGCTGCTACTTGTGGGCCTCTCATCACCTCATCTGTGCCCTTCCTGTCCTTAACCACAAGAGAGAGGATTCCCATTCATGCAGTTTTTCCATTCCATAAAATGCTACAGTGTTAGCTGTGGTTTCATCTGTTGAAAAACCAGAAGTGTCCCGCTCCCAGTTACTGAGTGTATTGCATGGATAGCAATGACTACACAGCCCGAATGTCAGGGAAAGTTTTTAGAGTTTAATAAGCCTGGCAGGCAGCTATGCACAGAAAAGAAAACCCCAAAAGAATGAAGATCCAAGATCATACTAGGAAAGCAGCAGAGAGAGCAGAAATCATGCTTCAAAGCTACATGACAACTTCTAGGCTCTCACTCAGTCAAAGTGGACTGAGAGCTGGGCCTTGCCTACCACAGCATAAATACACTGGCTGATGGACTGGCAGTTGATGGCAGAATGGAGGATACAAATTGCAACTCACCACTAAACCTTCACTTCTCAGCACCTTGTCTTCTACCTTGGCCATGGCAAGGAAGGTTTTCCTCTCTCTCTGGCTTTAAAAGTAGCTCTAACTGTTCTAACTCTCCACACATGCCACTGTTTCCGAATGTGTTGGCAGCTCTCCCCTTCTCCCCTGGGAGATGACTCCTTACTCCCTCCCTCTCTCCCCCTTTCCTAGCTGGGAGGATGGAATTTAAGCTTGCTTATGAATGACTGCATTGCTGCTTGTTGCCCATTTCAGTTCCACTTTTGCAGTGGTCACTTCTTAAATGGATGCCTGTAGCATCCACTGTTAGCATGACATTGTCTGATATGACAATGACAGTTTCAGACATGAGAAAACTGACCCTCCAAGTGCAGAGTTTGAGTCCCAGCTGTTAGCAAATTAGAAGAGATGTGAAGAGGAGAAGGAGCATGTTGGAGAGCTGGCCTAAACAATTAACTTCAGAAAGAGCTCATATTTGTATGGACCAGGTCTTCAAACTGCAGAAATGCCTTGGGTATGTATGATTCATTCATTTATGTACAGAAAACATTAAAGATATTTGACTGCTAAAACTGGGAATCTAGTGTTTTTTGGAAAGCCAGGCCCCTTGTGATGGCACCTCTAATGAAGTATCCAAGGAAGCTAGTAAGTCATGGCATTCTTTCTTATCTAAAAGTCAGTCCTCCTTCTTCAGTCAAATGCAGACTCAAAAATCATACTAGAGATACAGGATCATATTAGGGGTAAAAGCATCCATACTGAATCACACCTTGGAGTCTGCATTGCTGCTTATGGAGGCTATATAGATCAAGAGGAGGATTAGAGTCAGGGGTGAGGACAAGGGCTATGTACTGCGCCATGTGAATTCCAGATGTAAGTGGAAGTGCTGTGTCCACAGCCTTCCTCTTGAGCTCAGGCATCGCAGGTGTCATCCTACAGAGCAGGCATAGTGTGCTGCATTGCCAGTGTCCTCTGTCCAGCAACAACTTTCTGTGTTTTCGCTGGTTTCTGGACATCGTGCAGACAGTTGTGCAAGGGAATGCTTTCCCCAAGGGAATGCTGTGGTATATGTAAGATGCTGGGATGGGTGCTGGCAATGTCTATGGAGCTCTGTGGCCTCAGATGAGAGAGGAGAGAACCAGAACAGGAATAAGGAATTTGTAGGTACATTATGTTACAATCTGCAGCTTTGGTGGCCACAGATAGCTTTTCAGAGATAACGATTCTCTAATTAAATGCAGAGTGGTTTGAGGAACCTGTGATTCCAGCTTATTTCAAGGCCTGGGAGAGAACAAAGTTTAAAATAATGTTAAAAAAAATACCCCAATTGTAAACATCAGCAGAACTGTGGAGGAGAGGGAACAAAAATGTAGTAGCTACTTGTGATGAGCCACTGCACAGGTTCAAGCTGTTGGAAGCAGGTATTGAAGAAGGAAATGGAAAGCTTGCAAGGGATAGCTCTACATCTCTTGAAACTGGCAGAGTTCAACAGTAGCCTGCAAGCAGTGAGGTAAACTCAGTGAGGACCTCCACTGAGTCAGCACTGGATCTGTGGCATAACCCATTACTGACAATGGAAGATACAGCGACTTGATTTGCCAGGAGCAAAAAAGTGAAACACCTCTGTGGTGTTTTCACTGGGTTCAGACTGCCTTCATTGGACTATTTGCAGATGCCAGTGAGAAATGCCTGCATTTTGCAGATGCCAGTGTGAACAAATGCCTGCAGCCATCATCCACCTTCAGTGCTCTTCCTATGTCAGTCAAACCAGGTGCTAGAGGGATTCCCAAGCATTCATAAGGCTTCGTATTTATGAAGAGATTGCAAGAGGCAAATGGGAAGGCTGCAGAATGCTGATAACTGATAATCCAAGACGATTCTGTGGCTCCTCTTTGAAGGAACATTTTGAGAGCTTTTTCTCTTTGGAGGAACCACTGAAGATACATATTCACAGCCCAAATCTCCTAATTTGGGACAGTATCAACATCTTGAGTGATGCAAGTGAGAATGAGAAAGAAGGGAGTAGCTTCTCGTTTGCTTTGTGTTCTGTTTAATTGAACTGGCCAGCTGAAACAACTCAGACATATCTGAGAACCTCTTTTAGTTTACTTGCTCTTTTTCAGGACAAGAGTGAGTTGTGGAGGAAACTGAGCCGTCTGTTAAATTATGACATCTGACAGAAAATCTAGCCTTTCTGTTGGTTTACTACCTGGGTAAAAAGTTTATTTATATGAGATTGCTTTGTGAACTACTTCGGGAGGCCAAGCAAGCTGGTCTTCCAGCATCATGAATTTATGTCCTTGCTGTGGCTTCCTGCCAGCATCCTCTCCATTGAACTATATTTACATTAGCACTGTAAAACGTTACTTCATTCAAGTGTCTGAAGTGAAGCACTCACTCACTTCACACACTTAGTTCTTGATTGTTGCCAGCTGGTGAGAAGTTAGCTGATTGCCTTTCCCAGCTGGGCCTTGCCATTATGAATATAATGAGAATTAAAGCCACTGATTCACTGGGGTTGCTCAGGTTCAGTTTCTGAGGTCTGTATCTGGTATAAATGCAATATACTAGACAATTAGTTTCTTCAACTAAGATTGAAAAATAAATCCTTTGTCTGAAAGATAAGCATCTACAGTAAACATTGCCTTTGGCATCAGAATATATATACAGGTAAATGATCTGGATGATGGTTCACTGCATTTCAATCTGTTTTTTTAATTCTGTAATTTTTAAAGCTCTCTACAAAGCGGAAGTTTTTTCATTTTGTGAAAGCAGAAATGGAGGGAGAAAGAGGTAGATCATATTGTCTAACCCGGTATAGATCTTCATATGAAGCTTTTCCAGTGTGCTGAATCAATGGGATGGTCCCAAGGTCTTTCACTGACAGAACTATGACAAGTTCTTAGGAATGAAAGATAAAAACATTTGACTTTTAGTGTGCTCTGGTGCTCAGGCTGTATTCTGAATAAACACTTTAGAATGGAATCAAAGTCATATGTTCTTTTGTATGTTCTAAAAGGCCTTGCTGAACGGCAAGCTTTGCTCTGTTTATTTCAAGAGAAGGTTTGAATAAGGATTTTTCATTCTTGAATTTCACTGAATATATTTAAATTACTGTGATTGCCCTGTGCTGCACCATATTCCCAAAAGACAGAGGTTTTGTTAGCTCACAAGAACAAGAAAGCAAAACCATCTGGTCTTATGACCAGCACTGGATGAACGATAACAGCTGATGAATAGAATGTGTTTTAATTTGTATTTAAGAGTAAAGTGTATAACCTGGAAGTTAAAAACCCAACACTTTGTGCTTTTAATACTAGAAATATGTGAAAGCTAATTTAACGCGAATAAGTGTTAAATAGTTTGGAAATGAAATTTCTCATAGAAGTATCCCTGTTTTGGAACACTAAATTATCTCAGTGTTAACATGCAGACAGGGGTATCTTTTTCCCACAGTGATCAATTTCTGGTTTAAAGCAAAGATCTGGGTGTCAACAGATTGCATTACACACTCTGGCTTAGCGGCCCTTGCTTTGAAAAGGGAAATGGCACTTACCATACAATGTCGGGGCTGTGTGAAGTGCCTTAAGATGCTTGGATACAAGGTTTGAAGGAGCTACTAAGTACTGCTATCTCTTGTAGTAGTATTGTTTCAATCATCTTATTCTTTCATCATTCTTGGTTTGCTCGATTTTATCTTCAATCTGTTGAAAGCACAAGCAGAGAATAAGAAAATGTTTTCATGGCTTTGTGGGAGGCAAGCAAAGGAGGTGTGTTGGAGGGCTGTAAGGATAGCCAGCAATGACAATGACTGGTACTGCCTTCTTCTCTAGGGGCAAAAAAACCCTGAACAAACAAAAAGTTTCTCAATTACTGCTGTGGCATCTACCAGTGGAGCAGTGAGTTTTATCAGGGCCTCTGTACACCATCTCCAGGGTTTGAAAGAAAAAGTAAACCAGTGAAAACCTATTGGTTTAAATTTGCTATATGGCTGTTTGCATCTTCATGGGAAGCAGACCTCATAGCAGCCTTCCAGTATCTGAAGGGGGCCTATAGGGATGGGGGAGGGACTCTTCGTTAGGGACTGTAGTGACAGGACAAGGGGTAACGGGTTAAAACTCAAACAGGGGAAGTTTAGATTGGATATAAGGAGGAAATTCTTTCCTGTTAGGGTGGTGAGGCACTGGAATAGGTTGCCCAGGGAGGTTGTGAATGCTCCATCCCTGGCAGTGTTCAAGACCAGGTTGGACGAGGCCTTGGGTGATATGATTTAGTGTGAGGTGTCCCTGCCCATGGCAGGGGGTTGGAACTAGATGATCTTAAGGTCCTTTCCAACCCTAACAATTCTATGATTCTATGATTTCCACAAACCAAACCCACTGAACAACTGCAGTTCTTCCCAGAGGTACCTTACTGGAGATGAAGCTCACCTTTCCCTTTTGGGTGTACAGGCAGCTGCTGCTGTCTCTCCTATTCAAACAGCTTCCCAGTGCTGTGAGCCTGTTTGAGGGTGACTATATTACTGAAGCAGATCTCTCTCTCTGCATCTTGAACATACCAGCTCTGACTCTGTCCTATACCCTGGCAGAAAAATACACCCTACCTTCCATGTTGCCTGATACAGCACTGGAGGGACTCTCTTGAAGAAAGTGTGGGTGACACCAGTGGAGATGTATTTAAATTTGCCTGGGAACTTAGCCCTATTTCTAGTGAAGAATATATTGACTTCTTTTTTTCTACTGGGTCACAGTTGGTCAGCAATGAGGGAACTTCAAAGAAGCTGCAAGTCCATTTTGGATCTGTCAAAGAACGTGAGCACTTTTCTTTATTTGCTCTCCCCTCCTTCCTCTTCAGTGTAGATTAGAAGTAAAAGTCTCCAGAGAGTAGATTCCTCATTAAGATTTCTGGTACCTCCTGGTATGCAGAGGCTGGGATTACCACATGGAGGGCATCCTGCTATATTTGCCTCTAGTCCAGTCCCTTTGAAGGGACCCTGAAACACTTTACAATCATGCAGATTTATGAGCACTGAGCAGTCTGCCAGAGCCTGAGATGCTCCTGCTAACTAACTATGGGAAACTGCTCCAGGCCTCTGTCATTAAAAATACATTCTTAGCATTTCATGAACAAAGCTTAGTTTCCGCCTTCTGTTTCTATAGGATATAATATGTTTCCTGACAGATGTTTACCCTAAAACATCAAGTGATCGTTTCTGAGGAAAGTAAGTGAGTAAAAGCAAAGCCTGTCACCTAGGATATGTCACAATGTGAATCCTGAACTCCCAGTGTGATCTGAACTCTGGCAATGCCCAAGGATATTGCCTTTTGAGATTTTTAGTTTATTTATATTCATTGTAATTAGAGACTGGACACTTGAAGTTCTGTAGTTTCAAGCCTTCCTTTAAACACTGTCTTAGCATGGCTCTTGACCAAAAGCCATTACCCACCTACTGGCTCTTTGGGCACCTGAACTACTTGCGCCTTGCTGGCTCTTAGATGCTACAACATGGGGTGCCAGGAAAAGCAGACAGATACAGAACAAACAAGAGTGGCTGTTGGCAGGAGCAGAGCACTGGCTCATGTAGGCAGATAAACACAATGTGTTTTGGCTGACTGAATTGCATGTGTGATCCCAGAGCCCTGGAGAGCAGGGTGGGCTGTGTGTGCATGGTCCATGTGTGCCTGAAGCTGACTCAGAGGTTATGAATGCAGATGTAGATGTTCTCAACTTGCAGATCACAAAAAATGCCCATGAAAACACTTGTTCCCCAGCTGGGTAAGGAGCATGGGGTGGTATAGGAAGACCAAATTCAGTTTAGTCTTACAATCCCTCCCTAGGTTTTAGGCTGGGGCACCTTCTGGCTCAGACAGGTGGTGACGTTACCACCACTCACCTGCTTATCTCAGGCCAGCTGAACTGCCAGAGCTGTGTATGCATCAGACTGTCTAACCTGTTAATTACTGTGTTATAGCCCTAGCCTCAATGAAAGGCCCGTCATTAACCCGAGCTGTAACTTGGACTTGCATTTGGTCAGTGAGGAGGGTACATGCTGGAACTTCAGTTGTGTCTGGATGGTATCAGCTGGGGTTTTAATTCCTGTTAGGACCTGAACTCCTGTCTGTATTTTAGGTGTAACATGTATATTCATAGTGCTCACACAGATCTTGGTTTTTTTAAAGGAGCTTCAAACCCAGGGTGGTGTTCTTCCCAGGGCTTTTGGTTTGTCTGTAGGTCAAACAGCAGATGATTGCTATAGCAGAAGGCTTTGAGCTGATCTCTGAAAATCTACAGCTATCTTCCTGATAGAAGGTTTTGAGCTGCCAGGTAAAATGCACTGGGAAAAAGAATATGCAAGAGGGATGCTCATATTTTCCATTTGTAAATGCTTAAGACCAAGATTCCAGAAGAACAGACATATTGTGATGGTATTATTACTTAAGTTCTGATTTAAGTTAATCTCTGCTCCTCTTCTCTTTTAAAGTCTCTTCTAAGGGATTTATGTTAACAGTGGAGGCTGGGCCACAACGGGATGCTTACCATGCAGGCCTCTGTTGTATCAGATAATCCCCCCCTCACATAAAAATGATAGCTCTGGAATTCTCACCCAGTAAAATCAAAGCAGTGTCACATATGCACAGAGGAGGAAATCCTGAGGAGTCTTTTGTGGGGTGAAGATCTGAAGGTACAAGAAGGCCTCTTACAAATGCTGCTGGAGATGGCAGGAGCTGCAGAGGAGTCAGTGAGAAAAAAAGCTGTTGAGAGATAACGTTAAGGGACATTCAGGAAAGTGCTAGTACATGTCTAGACAAACTGAGGTGGGCTTAGAGAAGAGTCACAGGGCTCTCTGCCCCCTATTTCATCCCATGAAGTGGTGTGCAGTAGGGAAGAGCCCCTTGCTAATATGGATGGTAGTTATCTGATTTCCTTTGGCTAAAGCTCAGGCTCTTGACCTGTTATTTTCCTACTCACTCTTGGCATTGGTAAAAATGATTAAAGAATTAAGGGAGCAGAGAATCAGTCTGTGAGCTCCTGGGAGTATCGGGGATGCAGCACAGCCTAATCTCTGAAGTGGGTGAGGCCACAATTGAGGTGTACAAGGTGAGGAGTGATGTGGCCAAGTAAAGAATTGGTGGAATTAGCTATCTGTTTGTTTATGTGGCTGATCTGGCTATTTTTCCTTTTCTCAGCAGCAAAGTTTGGATCTGAACCTATTCCAGACAATCGTAGCTTTTCCCTTCCTTATTTCTCATAGTAAAGGCTGAATAAAATCAAGTAATAAACAGAATCTGTCTCAAACTTTGCTTTAGGGCTTAGAGGAAAAACACTGTTTCCTTTCTCCCCTCCTCCTTCCCCAATTTCCAGGACTTTTCCAGCTTGTTCTATGAAAGATTTCTTTCTGTGGAAGAACCCTAACCCTAATGAGGCTTTGCTCCTGGAAGCTGATGCTAATAGATGCCCCAGTGAGGGACTCAGTGAATTCCCATGGCAGAATGGGGAAGAGCTGGGTGCACCCCTGTGATTTTTCTGGAAGGGGAGTATCAGGGAGAGCAGTAGGCTAATTCTGTAGCTGAGGTCCACCACTGTGTGAGACTGGTAAACGAAACACTCATCTTGGAGCCCAGAAGAAAAAGGGATTTTGATGGGCTTTGGGTTGGCTGATAAACATGCCACAGGGGCTCCGTTCTGCAAGAAGCCTTTCTGATTCACCCTACTCTCCAAACCTATCAGCTACAAGTAAACACAAACCAGGCTTAGACCAGATATGGCTGAAAAGCTGCACAAGGAGCATCCTCTGTGCACCTAAAAGATGGCATGACAGAGGAGGGGTTTCTGTTTGTTTTTCTGTTACAAAGTTGTGTGGTACAACAGTACTGCCTCCTGTTCCAGAGTTGGCACAGCAGACACCAGCTTGGAGAGCTTCTCCACCGTGTTCCTTTGCACAGGTTGGACATGCTTTTTTGCTATGCACCTTGCTTTAGAAGGGGCACTTGTGCCAGTGATCTGGTATCATCACGCTGCTTCATCATCAGCATCAGACAAAAGCATTTAAGTGCCACTAAAGCTTATAAGCCGCAGGTTCCTTCACTCGAGCTTGTCCACTGACAGGTCACTGGCTGCTTTCCAGAGTGCTAATTTCTTTGTGAAAGCATGAGTCAATGAAACCGTCACCGCTGCAGCCTCTTCCATCTACTTCCATTCCAGAAGAAAACAAAGGTAGGAAAAAAAACAGTCTCACCTAATCAATCTTTGGCAGTATGAAATAACTCCTAGTACTCTACTGCTGCTATTTATAGTACTTCCTACAGTACAAGTGCTCTCCCTTCTTTGTAAGTCTATTCCACAACCTCTCTATTGGATGTATTGCACTGTCAGTAAGATGTAGATGAACATGAAAGAGGCACTGTTGGAGCACAAGAGTGATAAAGAGGCTTAGAAAACTTGAACTGTGAATAGAGCCTGAGAGAATTGGTTTTGTTTAGTCTAGGAAAGATAACATGGCAGGAGCAGAGGTGGGAAATATGATAGTCTTCAGGCACTTCTAAGGGTGTTACAGATAGAACAATGATCAGTTCTACAGGTCAAGATGGGGTAAGGCAAGAAGATATTAGCCTATGTTCAGCAACGAAGACTTGTGCTAGATCTGTAATAAAAGAAGATAAGAATCCAAAACTCTTTCCAGCTTTAAGGGTAGTTGAGCAATGGCTGCCTAGGGACTTGTAGAATTATTGCTCTTAGGAGGTTCATGAGAGGTCTGGATTGTTGAAAACTGGAGGAACAGGATCCCAGTATTTCACTGCATTTCCACAGTCACTTCTGTGTATCATCATCAATACAAATTCTGTTTAGTCTTCACTAGTTTCTGCTGCTTGCAAGCATCTGTCTTTTCATCTTCTCCAACTCCCACCTATCCCTCCCCCAAATTTAGGTGGTTTACTGTATCATCCTCTTGAGCTGTTTCATATTGGGGCATTCAGATCAAAACATTTGATGACTGTAGACCCAAATGATCCTGTTTTATGACTGTTTATGTTACAGCAAATTTGAATATGTTTGTTTGTTTGTTTGTTTCTAGAGGAGGAAAGCTCAGCATTTAACTCTGGTTTTGCATGGCATCCATCATAGCAAGGTTCTTTTCTGTCACTAGAACCCCAAAGGATGCTACAGGAGAAATAGTACACACAATAATAATAATAATAGTTGCTCTTCCACAAATAGTTCAGTTCTATCTGTGGCTGCAGTTAAGCATTAAAGCAAGACCGGGATGTTTGGCATATTGAGCTGGATGAAATATTACCTTTAATCTAGGGAAGATAGGGAAGGACCTCAATGTGGAAGATATGGTGTGTTTCAGTTGAAGTGGCCGTGCTGTTTACCTAATGCTACACAAGGCACACATCTGATATAAGTATTCACCAGAAAGCAGCAAGTCACCATAAAGATCTCATAGTTTGGAAGAATACACTGTGCTACTTTTTAGATTTTGTGTCTTTGAAGTAGTGTAGGCTGTTTTGAAAGGAATTGACCAAAGACATATAATGCAACCAGACCTCATGTGTCAGCTAACCTACGTTAGCTGCCCAGTGAGACAGGACCAGCACTCTGTAAGACTGTGTGAGATCGGTCCCCAACCCTGAAACAGGCTGGAGTCAAAAGGAGCAGAAATCAAGTTTATATCATGTGTCCTATTTTACTACTCTGCCTTTGAGCAAGCCACAGTCATCCTGCTCTTGACTTTCCAGAGGCATTACTGTGCCTGATGAGGAAGAAGGGCTGAGTCCGTTCTCTCTGTATATGAGGAGGAGCACATGCTGCTCCAGCACTGACATCCAAATTTACAGCCCACACATCATCATGCAACCCAGCAGAAAATGCAACTAAGGTTTCCTGTGGGCAAGTTGGCAGCCCTCAGGAACCCCCTCCAGGACCTCCTTGCTCTCTGCCTGCAGCCAGCCCATGGCCCACTGGCAGCTCCCCACTCCTTGGACTGTGGCCATGACCCTCCCAGTGTCCTGGATGCTGGCTGTCCTGGGCTTGCAGCTCCTGTGGGAGAGCTCTAGCCCAGCAGGCACTGTGATTGCCCCTTCAAGGGAGCAGTGCCTAGCTGGGAGGTGTGTGCTGAGTTCTGGGAAAACCTCCCTGTTCAAAAAACCAATATCCTCAAGCTGAGGCAATTCAGAAGTTAAGGGTCATTTCTGAGAGTTGAATTGTGGCAAATTAGAGAGCACAGAGACTCGGCCAGTGCATGCTCCAGTGTTGTGTCCACCTTGTTACAACCACATTGTGCCACCCCTGGGAGGCTGTGGGCAAATGCAGCAGCTCAGGTCTACTCCTGACTCCT